TCTACAGAATACAATTTTATATATCATTTCTGTTATTCCCATTTATACATTTTGAGAGTATTAAAAAAAAAAAAACCAATAATTCATATACCAGTTCATGAAATTGTACCAACAACTAGCCAATAATTCATATTCGTAGATATCAAAAAATAACCATCAATATAATTCAGTTCATGGAATTGCACCAGTAGCTATTTTTCCAAACTTTGGTGCAGTCGTTCATGCACAAATTTAATGGTGCAAATTATGAATTGTGGGGTTAGGTGAAGTTTAAGGCTTATTTATTATGAACTGGTTTTCAAAAGCTTCTTAAAAGAGATCTAAAGTATTTTTTCCTTTAAGAAGCATGTCTACAACTATTTAAAATTCAGTTAATATTAAAATTACAGTTGAAACTTGGTTAATAGTAAGATTACCATTAATTAAAAACTAAAATACTTACATAGTTTTTGAACCATATATCAAATTCTTTCTCAACCTTGACGCCATAGTATCCGTTTTATCCAACTCCAATTCTTCTTTGTGTAAGCTTTTACAAAATGGTTAAAAATTAAAATTTAAAAATAAATATAAGCAAACATTAGAACTTATAATAAATAAATAAAAATTTCAAAACTAACAACTTACTTTATAAACTCATGTATATCCTCACAATTATGAATCATATAACTTTGAGCTTGATCCAATTTTATGAAGCTCCACTCCTAATATTTGTTTCCTCGTAATGGCCTCCCAATACGTTTAAAACTTTGAAGCTCGGAGGTAGTTGATTCATACATCCCCTCCTAATTTCTTCCAACATGATTTAGTCTTGTCTCAACTTCACACATATATAATGAGCAAAATGTCACAGGTTCATGAACAGTATAAACCTCAGCAATTGATCCTTCTGCATGAGCAGTATACTTAACAAATAACTTCAACCTACGTAAGAATCTTTCAATAAAGTATATGCACCTATAAGTAACTGGGCCTGCAACTTTTGCTTCCCCAAGCAAATGTTCTTGTAAATGAATCATTACATTGAAAAAGGATGGGAGAAAGACCTTCTCCAACTTGCAGAGAGTCGCAACTATTGACTTCTCGAGTGACTCCATGTCTTCTACAAGTATCTTTCTATCACACAATTTCCTAAAAAAGCCACTTAGCTCTAGTAGTGGCTCACACAATTCCTTTTTCAACACACCACGTATTGCTAATAGAAGGAGGCGGTATAGGAAAACATGACAATCATGACATTTCATTCCAGCTAAATTGAATTCATTCTCACTGACATAACAAGTAATATTGAAGGAATAATCATTTGGAACCTTTATGGCACGTACAAATTTACATAAATCCTTTCTTTCACTTGGTGATAATGTATAGTATGCAGAGAAAAAACTATACTTATTATTGCCATCTGACTTTGTATAAAGTTCAGGACGAATACCCATAAGCTCTAGATCAAAACAGGTATTAATCGTATCCTTTGTCTTCCCCTTAACATTCATCATAATGCCAAATAAACTAACACATTCCTCACAATATGCATGACATCGTATCATAAGGGTTTCCCAATATGTCAACTAGAAAACACCTTTTTTCCTCCAATTGCCTAGTAATGTTTCCTACCCTCTTTTTTGTTTCCTTGTCTTGCCAAATGTCACCTAATAAAATTATTTATAAATGACAATAAGAATATGAAAAATTAAATAATAAAATGATTAACAATAATCAAGAATGTTGGAGCTATGGAAATAGCATCAAAGTGACAACGACATGACTGCACATGGACTACAACAACATGGAGATGATGGCAAAGGAAAACTGAGCACAACATCTCAATTTCATTCTGTGTTCTTCTACCATGTTTTATATTTGTATATTTGAGTGTTTTGAGTTTTTTTTTTTAAAATAAAAAACTCTTCATGTTTATGTATTTGTGAATTCCATCATTTTATGGGAAAGAAGTTTGGTGCAGGAGCAGCCAAGGCCAAGCACAAAATCAGAACTCCAAAACGTACTGAAGCAGCAAAGATCCATGGACAAAGTTGCAGCAATAGTGGAGTGGCTGAAAATGTTTAAGGCTCTAAAATTTGTTCAAACAGCAAAAATCTAACAAAGATGAAGCTGATTTCCAAGAGGAGCCAAAACATTTGAGAAGATGGTACTAAGCAACAAACAACAAACTAAAGAACTGAAAATGGCACAATCAATGTGCTAAAGTAAAATTTTGATGTTGCAATATGACTGCATAGTAGCATGGAACTGCACATGGGCTACAAGAAATGGCAACAAACTTCATCATTTTAGTCACTGTTTTAGGTAGTTGTTTTGTGTAGCCTTCCCCTATAAAAAAGATGGAAGAAATTGAATGAAATTTGAGAAAGAGAAAGCATGGTTTCTCTTCTAGATGTGTGTTTTTTCTAGCAAACAGTTTGATAGGAATGTTTTAAGTTGGTTTATTGTTGAGAGCTTAAAAACAATTTATCTACTCTTGACTGTTTCTCAGTAAGAATACCCTTTTACATAATAAAATATATTTTTTGTTGATAAAAAATATATATATATATATATACACAATAGAAGAATAATCTAAAAGCATAACTGATTGAAGAGCTTATATTGTTCAACCACATCTTTTCCTATCAACTCTTTAGGTGCATGATGATGTTCTATTGTTCCATCAAAAGCCTTTGCATCTTCACACCAAGGATGGTCCAGTGGAAGAAAACGATGGTGATCCATGTAACATGTTTTATGATCATTTCGGAGCGTTAATGAACAAGTCTCAATCTTGCAAGTTGGACATCCAAATTTACCTTTTGCACCATATCCTGACAATACAGCAAGACCTAGAAGGTCACTAGTTGTCCATATCAAAGCTACCCGCACATGAAAGTTAGACTTTAATGTCGCATCATACACCTCCACTCCATTTTCCCATAGGTCATTCAATTCATCTATCAAAGGTTGAAGGTATACATCAATCTCATTTCCTGAAGCTTTATGACCAGAAATAAGCATAGACAACATGAGATATGAATCTTTCATACACATCCAAAACTATGATTTGTGTCTATTTTTATCGTTATTAAAATCATGATTTGTTGTCACAAATACAAAATTAGTTACTATTAATTTTAATGACTCAATATTTGTATCGAACAGTAATCAATCAAATTATAGATATAAATATAATTTGTGACAAAAAAATTTTAAATTTTATGACTAATTTTACCATCACAAAAAACCCATTTCCTTGGAGTGAGTAACAATAATCATATCCATCCCATCACCTCTTTAGAACCTTCTTTTTTATTATTACTATTATTATTATTCCATTCTTTCATTTTCCTTCACTTTCGTGCAACTTTCCCTTTTCGCATTACTACTCCGAAGTATCCTCTTTTACTTTTTAGGAAACCTCTTTTTTTTTTTTTTTTTGGTATATCTGAATGGCTTAAATAAGAGGGATAACCTTCTCCTTCCCCTAGATTTCTCCCCATTCGACTCAAGATTTGAACTTAAGATCTCTAATTTAAAATCTCAAATTCTTAATCATTGAGTAATCTCATTGGGGTTTCTGGGGTTTTAGGAAAACCTCCTGTGGTACACAATTTTCTCCAACCACCGTTCCCTTATATAAACCGTAACCCAAAGTGGGATTAATTGTATATGTACCTTCAGTTCAAGTTTGGTAATTGTTTGGGCAGCTTCGCAGTCCAACACTGTTGAAGTCCTTGGCTGCTTCCACACCTGAAAATCCCGAGGTTGTTTCCTCGGGGAAAACACTCCAACGCTTAAGTCAACAATACTCAATATTCTAGAGAGAGATGCTCTCAAGGAGTAATTGCAGAGAGAGAAGCGTAGAGATTAATTACCTTCATCGAAGGTAGTTGGGGGGTATTTATAGCCCCAGATACTGACATGTATCTACACGCGTGAGCATCTCATTGGCCTACGTGGTACTGCCCACGCGGGTATGTCTCCTCTTTTTGGGACTGTGGGCGCATAGTTGGGCCTGCTATGTGTGGCCCAAAATGGGCATTGGGCCTCATCCCAACATTACTCCCCCCTCAGCGTTCGGTTGACGAACTCGGTCGAGAGTCTTGCTGATGCGGTGTTTGACCCTGAGGATGAGGAGTGATGCTTTGTGTTCATGGTCGACCTCATGCACGGCCGACCTGGGCGGCGTGAAACCAGAGTGGTCGCCTGCTGACCTCCTGCAGAGCAGGCGCAAGTAATCGGGTGGTCAGGCAAGGTGAGCTCAGCCTGATTAGCGGGCTGAGCAGATGTGCATAGACGACCTCGTCTGAACGAGCTGGAATATAGTGAACGAGCTGAAGCAGCTGACCCGTATAGGTTGATGTGGGTGATCTTAGTCATCACCGTAATATAAATATGTAGGGGCAGAGCTGATCTGACGTTTGATGTTTAGAACTAAGGTGAATCTTTGATTTGTTATGATCTGATCTTGACAGAGTTTCGAGCTCGAAGTCTCTAATTTGTTACGATCTGATCAAGTTGGAAACCTCTGGAGAGATCGTGGGTTAGTTACGAGCAGGTTTCTCAAACTTTTCAAATTTTAAATTTTGTTACGAGCTGGTCGAAATCTCTGGAGAGATCCTGAATCAGTTACGAGCAGATTTCTCGAACTTTTCAAATTTTAAATTAGGACGGATCTCTGAAGAAATTTTGTTACGAGCTGGTCTCTCTGGAGCTTTGTTACGAGCAGGTCCTCGCCACTTTTTGAATTTTAAATCTGCGAAATCTCTAAAGAGATATGGTTTAGAGCGGTTAGTATTCTCAATCCCCCCCTAATAAATGCTGGCTCAGCGTTTGAAAAGACGTGACTGTTAAAGTCGGCGGACGTTACACGCCAAGCAATAAGTGCCTGCCACGCGTAAGATTTTGGTTGGTTACCAGAGAGGCATGTACAGTAATGATGAGCACGGTCACTTAACCCCTCTGTCACCTCTGTCCTTGCTTTTGCATTCCATTTCCATATTCTCTGCATTTCTCTGTGACAAAGGACGTCCAAAATTTTCAGGCGACATTCTCAGTTTCTCAGAGTTAACTTTTCAGGTAATAACAAATGGACTTTGTTAGCGAAATAGGAGAACTCCGGGGTAACCAGGGTATGGAAGGGGAAGAGAACGTGATAGCCGTAGAGCCCATTACCATGATTGTACCACTAGAATTGCAAGACGTGCCAGAAACCCCTACGCCGGAGAGCAGTGCCAGTTCAGGCGCGCACGAGGGTTCCGGTGCTAACCCCTCTCCGTCATCTGAAGGGTCGTCATCAGAAAACACTACCAGTGCAAGTAGCCCCTCGCCGGAAGTATCGAGGTGGCCGTAAATGTGCCTCCGGTTGCAGGTTGGGAAAATAAAACCATAGGTGGTAGGTTGAGCAACCTTCGCAAAGCGCCAAATACGCTGACGGCTGGATTTCAGTTTAGGGCGAACCTGCATCATGAGGTAGCAGATTGCCCTACCTCCATTAAAGGATATAAGAGGCTGGAGGAAGTGGTGAGACAATACCACGTTCCTAGGACAGTTTTGTTACGAACGGGGACCAAAAATGAGAGGGCTTGCAGTGTGTCAGCAACAGGGTGGATACCTGTATATGTGGACCATTTCGACGCCGGCCTGAGATTCCCATTATCCAGGCTGATTTTTGATATTCTGTCAGAGTACGAGCTGGAGCTCACACAGTTAACTCCCAACAGTATAAAATTTATCGTAGGGTTTATGCTGCTGTGTGCAAGGTTGGAGATACCTGCGAAGGCAATTGTTTTCAGGTCGCTATTTTTGTGCCGGCTGAGTACTGCGCTGTCGAGGTGGTACTACATTTCTGGGCGAGAGAAAATGGCGATCTTTAAGAACATACGGAATAAGGTGTCTCGTTGGAAGAGACAATTTATCTTTGTCCGGGATACGCGAGCAGAGAGGGTTAGCACCGATCTGGCAGCTCGTCTCTCTGAGTGGCGCCCAGGACATGCGTACATGAACTACCCCACACTAGCCCCGAGTGACCTGGAGCTTAGGGATAGGATCACTAATTATGTGAAGGGAGGGGGGTTAGTTGATTTGGAAGCCCTGGTTACCCCTGAGCTGCTCGCTTTGCGTGGGTTTGTGGATATCACAAACCTGTTTAGTGAAGGTACAACTCTATTGTCAATTACTTTTTTCACGAGCTGAGTCTTATTGCACGTGTTTGTGCAGGAGAGATGAGTAGCATGCTTGAGAGACAACGGGAACGAGCTCAGCGCTCTCGAGGCAGGGGAACTGGGTCTAGCGCGAGGAGGCAAACGCGCTTTGACGAGCTGCCGCCTGCAGCACCTCGCAGCTCGTCATAGAGGGAACAGGGTTCCAGCTCGGCCTCGTGGCCACAGGCTGAGCATAGGGTAGAACCCGCTCCTGCTGATGTTTGGAGGCGTGCTCGCGACGAGTCCGATGCTGAAGATGACGTACCATTAACTCGGCGCAGGTTGGATGCTGGGAGACAACCTGGAGTGGTGCGCTCACCTGAGGCGTGAGGCGCTTCCACCACCAGTAGCTAGCGGGGGGCCCAGGATCGCATACCCTGAGGGTTTTAGCTACACCAAACCCGACTGTCAGCTCGCGATGGTCCAGGGTATGCAGAACTTCGTCCCGCCTGTGGACCGTCATCGTGCCAAAGGCTACATTCAGCAGCACGGGACTCACGCTGCAATGCTGAAGATGATGGATGTGAGAATTGTGCTTGACGAACATTTTTTGTTGTAAGTTTGGAGTAAAAACTGATTGTAGACATGTTGCAGGCACTAAGCTATTCTGTAGCTCTGTTCGAGAGCGAGCAGGGAGCTCGAATACAGAATAGAGAGCTGGCTGACAATTGCAAGCGGCTATCCTCAGACAAGGCGAGCTTGGAGGACGAGGTGAACCGTTTGCAAAGCTCAGAGATGGCCAACAAGGCTGCATCAGCCGAAAGCCGGGCTGACGAGCTGGCCAACAAGGTCATCCAGCTGCAGGAGAAGCTGGACAAGGTGAAAGCTGAGAAGGAGAGTGGGATTCAAGCGGCCATGGATGAGGTCGTTCGCGCAGTGGATCTTAGGAAGAAAGTGGAAGCTGAGAGAGATGGCGTGCTGAACGACCTCAACGCCCTAAGAGGGCGGGTTGCTCTGGCCGACCAGGATCTTGCTCGCGTAAAGGAATCCCTGAGGCTGGCCAAGGCTCAACACCAGCGTTGTATTAGCATCGCGCGAGCTCAAGGCGCGGAATGGCTGGTTGGTGCTGACATGTTCCAGGACGCCGTAACTGTGGCATCCATGAACACCACGACTAAGATCTACAATGATGTTCGTGGTAAGGTGTTGAAGCATCGGCCGGACTTCCCAATCAACGAGCTCGCGTTTTTTGAAGGTGAAGAGTTCGACGCAGAGGGGAAGAGCCTTACTGAACCTTCTAACACGACGGTGAGGCTCCGCTGGGAGCTAAACGAAGAGGGATTGCCAACATGGCCACCGTTTGTCCTCGAAGAAGGAAAGGAGTTTGAGAACCTACCGCGGTTCGACACCTGGGCTGGTGAAGTACTCCTCCTGCGCCTCAGCCCGTCCCTGCTGCCATCGCCATCCTAGCTCATGCTGATGCATCCGTGCCCGTTGATTTAATGGACGACTAGGCTTAGGCTTTTTCTATTTTTGTTTTTATGTGTTTTCAGTATTTCTTTGTATGAAACACATTTTGTAATTTCATTGGCACCTTATGTAATTGATTTGGAAGGAATACAATTCTAACAATTTTTGCAAAAAAAATGTGTGTACTATATGCATTGCTCATATATTATTCAAGTCCTGTAAACACTCGGTAAGAATACAAATCAACTGTAAAATTTTCTGAGGTTCTGAACATTCCATGTAAACGGTAACTGGTGCCCGTCCGTATCTGCTAATATATAAGATCTAGGTCGGTTGACTCGAGTGACCATGTATGGACCTTCCCAATTAGGAGCGAGCTTACCCATGTGTGAATACGTGTTAGTTAAGCCAGCCTTACGCAATACTAGATCACCGACCTAAAACTGTCGAGCTCGAACTCGTTTATTGTAAAATTTTGCAACATGACTTTGGTACACCATGTTTCTTATTCGAGATTTCTCCCTGATTTCCTCCACTAGGTCTAGATTCTCTCTTAAAAGCTGCTCATTATTAAGATTGTCATGGCGATTCGATCTAACGGATGGCAGACCGACCTCGACAGGGATGACAGCTTCAGCTCCATACGCCAGGCTGAATGGGGTTTCGCCCGTTGCCAAGATGGGCGTAGTGCGGCATGACCAAAGGGCTTTATTGAGCTCGTCTACCCAACTAGATCGCGCGGATTGAACACGAGTCTTGAGGCCTCGGAAGATGATTTTATTGGCGGACTCGGCTTGTCCGTTAGACTATGGAGTATACACGGATGTCAATGTGAGGTCGATGCCATAGTTGTTACAAAACGATCTCAGTGCTGCTGCTCAGAACTGTGGCCCATTATCGGCGATAATTCGCCTAGGTATGCCGAACCTGCACACAGATGACCGAGCTGAGCTACAAACCATGTTTATATATATTTTATTTGTGATCTAAGTCACTAAAGAATACCTGCACAATATTGAATTGAACAAGAATTCTTCTATTTTCCTTTCTGTTGTTGTGGATAATGGTTTAGCTTCTATCCACTTAGTGAAGTAATCCACTGCAACGACTAGGAAAGTGCAGCCTCCTTTGCCTTTGATGAAAGGGCCGAGCAGGTCGACACCCCATTGAGCAAAAGGCCAGGGAGATGAGAAAGACGAGAGCATTTCCCCTGTTTTCACAAAGGTACTTATGCTCAGCTTATTGTCAAACATGAAGTTTGCATGAACTTTAGAACGAGCTTAGATACCTGGCATGTGAATATCATCAGCGTTGAACTGGCAGGTTGGGCACTTTTTGACATAGCTCTGCGCGTCCTCAACCATGGTTGGCCAGTAATATCCATGCCTCAGGAGTTTCCGAGCTAAAGTCCTACCGCCTATATGTGTGCCACATACTCCTTCGTGAACTTCCCTCACAGCGTATTCGGCTTCGTAAGGAGTAAGGCAGCGTAATAGGGGCATTGAGGTTGCTCGTTTGTAGAGCTGGTTATCTAACAAAGTGAAATGTGCCGCCCTGCGTTTAACCAATTTTGCAGCGGACTGGTCTTCAAGTAGCTCACCACTTTGCAGATAATTTATGAGCGAGGTGATCCATCTCGGTGCAGAGGGATCTGTGCTCAGCAGCTGACATTCGACTGTGGAATCAGTGTAGCTCGGCGCGTCGAGTATCTCGACAATTGTCGATCTCTGAGGGTTAAGGTCTTGCGAGGAGGCCAGCTTTGACAACTCGTCAGCTCGGTGGTTATCCGCTCTTGGTATTTTATCAATTTGGAAAAGAACAAATGCTGATTTCAATCTGTTGACCACAGAGGCATAACGACCGAGCTGGGGATCCCTAATGTCACAACTGCCATTCACCTGGCCCACAACGAGCTGAGAGTCGCTGAAGACCTGAATGCTTTGTACTTTCAGCTCGGACGCCAACTTCAGTCCGTAGATGAGGGCTTCATATTCTACAACGTTATTGGTCGTCTAAAACTTAAACCTCAGTGCGTGTTCGGACTTAAAGCCATCAGGGCCCAATAACACAGCTCCAGCACCCGATCCTTCGACATTAGCAGCCCCATCTACATACAAAACCCAAACTGGGTGTTCAGGTGCCTTTTCTTTCACAACCGTCGGGGCACATTCAACCAAGAAGTCTGCCACAGCTTGGCCTTTTATAGTTGTGCGCGACTGAAATTTGAGGTCATACTCACTCAGCTCGACACTCCATCCGATGAGCCGACCAGAGAGTTCTGGCTTCTGCAATATTTTCCTCAGCGGGAAATCAGTATAAACGACAATCTGATGAGACTGAAAATAAGCCCTCAGCTTACGAGCTATGCAGACTAAAGCAAAAGCAGCCTTTTCCGCTAGCGGGTAGTTCTGCTTGGCACCTTGTAACACCTTGCTCACATAGCAAATAGGCTTCTGATTCTTATTCTCTTCCCTCAGTAGCACTGAACTCACTGCTTCTTCAGTGACCCCCAGATAAAGATATAAACATTCCCCGTCGACAGGCTTGGACAGCAGGGGTGCCGATGCTAAATATTGTTTGAGCTCGTCAAACGCATGTTGACATTCAACAGTCCAGTGGAAGTTCTTAGGCTCCCGCAGAGCTTTGAAGAACGGAAGGCACCTTTCTACCGATCTGGCTATAAACTTGTGCAACGTAACTACCCGACCCGTTAGACGCTGTACCCGAGCTTTGAAGAACGGTCTTGGGTGGCTCCATCTGCTGAACGGCTTGGACCTTCTCTGGATTCACTTCAATTCCTTTCTTGGATACCACGCATCCTAGGAATTTCCCTGATTCCACAGCAAACGTGCATTTCAAAGGATTCAGCTTCATTTCGGCTCGGCGTAGGTTTTGAAAAGTTTCATGCAGGTCGCCTATGTGATCCTCAGCTCGCACACTGGTGACTATCATGTCATCCACATATACTTCTATGTTTCTGCCGATCTGGAGCTTAAAGATGATTTGCACCAGCTTCTGGTATGTTGCTCCAGCATTTTTGAGGCCAAACGGCATCATGACATAGCAGTAGATTGCATCACCAGCGTAAAAAGCTGTCTTCTCCTGGTCGTTCAACAACAACTGAACCTGGTGATAGCCCGAGCTGGCGTCAAGGAAACTCATCCGTTCATGCCCAGCTGCTCGCTCCACCAATTTCTCCACATTTGGCAAGGGGTGAGGGTCTTTTGGACATGCGTCATTGAGGTTGGTGAAGTCAATACACATCCTCCACTTGCCATTCGACTTTTTGACGAGCACGGGGTTAGATACCCACTCAGAGTACTTCACTCTCCTGATGAAGCCTGCTTGTAGCAGCTTCTGTATCTCCTCGTTTATGGCAGCTTGTTTCTCTGGGCCAAAGAGTCGACGTTTCTACACCACCGGTCTTCTGGTGGGGTCCGTGCTGAGTTTGTGGACTGTCAGTTTCGCTGGGATGCCAGGCATTTCATCAGTAGTCCACGCGAACACATCTTGATTGACCCTCAAAAACTTCAGAAGCTCTGCTCGCTCTTCTTCTGTGAGCTTGGTGCCGATCTTGACTGTCTTTCCGGCACATCAGGGCTTAAAGGAACAGTTTCTACTGGCTCTACCGGCTATGCTTTCTGCTCGACTCCCTCGGGTCTATGCTCAATGTCCGATACGCTCATTGTCTGCTGGCCGGGCTGAGTCGGCCTACTATTTTCAGAGCCTCTCGAGGCTACAACGAGCTCAACCTTCTTAAATGTATCTTGATAACATGCTCTGGCCATCTTTTGATTTCCTTTAAGCACTCCTACCCCCTGAGGAGTTGGGAATTTCATGCAAAGATGGGGTTGTGATATGACAGCCTTCAGCTCGCAAAGAGTAAAGAGTGGCTCTTCCCAGTATAGCGTTGAAAGCTGACTCCATCTTGACGACCAGGAAAGTGACAGAAGCCATCCTGAACCTTGGTTCCGAGCCCACATAGATGGGAAGGGTAATTACTCCTTCAACCGGCACGGGCTGATTGTCAAACCCATATATAGGCCCTTCGTGCTTTTGCAGCGAGCTCGGATTTAGCTGCATTTTCTGGAAGCAACTCCAGTACAGGATATCTGGCGAGCTACCCGTATCGATGAAGACCTTGTTGACGTTATGGTTGCCTATATGAACCGTTGCCACGAAAGGATCTGCATGTGGCATCATGACGTCAGGCTCTCCATCTGCTCGTTTGTAATCTGTCGGGCTGAATGTAATGGGTGTGTTCTCCCACTCCGCCTCCTCGAATGGTCGCTTCAGAGGCCTGTTTTTGTTAACCGTCATCACCTGTCGAGCATATGCCTTCCGTGCCCGGGCACTTTGGCCCCCTGAGTGCATACCGCCAGAGATCATGTTGATTGGGGTATCGCACTGCACCCAATTCCTCTCCTGTCTTTTTGGTTTTGGGGGGCGGGTCCCTGACCTTGGACTCGCCTATTGAATTGGCAGCCCCTGTACGTTCTGCCTTGCTCAGAAGGATATTGGTTATCTTGATACATGCCTTGTGTGTTGCCGAGCTGGTACCTCTGCCCCTGAGGTCGGTCATACCCCTGCACGAAGTGATTTTGAGTCGGTTGCTGGGTATGAGGCTTCTGAACATATCCCTCTAATTTCCCAGTGCGAGCTAAAAACTCCAGCTCGTCCTTTAAGTGTTGGCAGTTTTCTGTGTTGTGACCGTATACACGATGGTAGTCGCAATGCTTGCTCTTGTCTGCTCGCGGGGAATCATGCACCGGGGGTGGGGGTCTTCTAACCCAGTGCTGGATTTGTGCTAGAATTTGAGACCTTGGCAAAGTGAGAGGGATATAGTTAGCATATTTTGGGAATTCAGTTGGCTTCCCCCATTGCTCGTTAACCTTCTGCTTTTTCTTTTCCTCCCTCCTTGGTACCTGTTCATTGCTTTTGCTCTGTTTGTCATCAGCTCATCGCTTCGACGACTGAAAGTCCTCCAACAGTATGAAGCTCGCTGACCTGTCATTGACTTCGTTCCACGTCTTTGGTGGATTTTCCAGTAAGTCATCTAGGAACCTGCCGCGCTTCAGACCGTGCAGCAGGGCCGACAAGCAGATGGTATCAGGGACATTATCGATATCTAATGTGGCTTTGTTAAATCGCTGCATGTAGTCCTTCAAAGATTCCCCCTCTTTCTGGTGAACTTGCATCAGCTCGGTCGCCGTGCGTTTAATCTCCCTTTGGCTTGCAAATTTGTTGGAAAATAACTTGGCGAGCTGGGAATATGAATCTATGGAATGTCTGGGGAGTTTGTGATACCACCTCCTAGCTATTGACTTGAGTGTTGCTGGGAACACTTTGCACATCATGGCATCATTGGCATTTTGGATTCTCATGATGGCTTGATAGGTATGCAAATGTTCATCAGGGTCACCAGAGCCGTCATATGTCTCCAGGTGGGGAATTTTGAATCCCTCTTGATACGGCTCTGTTGTAATGGACAGGTTTAAAGGGGCACTATCCAAATCCAGAGTTTGTTGGTGCGACCTGGGACTTTTCAACTCGTCAATAGACTTTTGCACATCTCGCAACTGTCTTTCTAGGTCCGCGTTCTTTCTCATCAGCTCTTCACTAGGCTTAGACGAGCTGGGCTCAATATTCAGCTTCCCACTTCCCCTTGGCCTGGTCGGCACCATTACGTTACTTAAAGCGGGGGAATTTCGAGTTGCAACAACCGCAGCTGGTTGTGCATCCCTGTTCAACAAAGGAATCAGGGGGTCATCAGGAATCAGACGGGCAAGGATTTTACCCATTGCCATTTCGAGAACTCTGGTTCTCTCTTCGAGCTCGGCTGTCCGAGCAAGTTCTGTTGACCTTTTAGGTCGTTCATGCTGTGAATTGTGCGGTATAGGAGGTCTTTGTCTTGTTCTCGTCGGAACTTGGAACTGTTCAGGCTGGGTTGCATACCCAGTTGGTGTTCTTTCGTCATCTGTTTCACTGAGGTGATCCTGTTCGGCTCCCCCAACGAAGAGGTTTCTTGGCATTGGCCTAAAGTCATTCAAACCAAGCTCAGATACTTGAGTGTTCTCCTGTTCGTCTACTTTATTTCTTGGGGGGCGACCTCCTGTAAAAGTCCGAACCATTTTGTCTTTCAACAGATTAAGCTACACAACTTTTTGTTCAAGTTTCCCACAGACGGCGCCAAATGTTTGGGCAGCTTCGCAGTCCAACACTGTTGAAGTCCTTGGCTGCTTCCACACCTGAAAATCCCAAGGTTGTTTCCTCGGGGAAAACACTCCAATGCTTAAGTCAGCAATACTCAATATTCTAGAGAGAGATGCTCTCAAGGAGTAATTGCAGAGAGAGAAGCGTAGAGATTAATTACCTTCATCGGAGGTAGTTGGGGGGTATTTATAGCCCCAGATACTGATATGTATCTACACGCGTGAGCATCTCATTGGCCTACGTGGTACTGCCCACGCGAGTATGTCTCCTCTTTTTGGGACTGTGGGCGCATAGTTGGGCCTGCTATGTGTGGCCCAAAATGGGCATTGGGCCTCATCCCAACAATAATCATCTATGGGGCTCGAAGAAATGAAGGGTAATTAAGGAGCAGAAGGCAAGAAGAAATAGCGCTAAAGATGGGATCAAAGTTGTGTATATCTCAAGCCCCATGAAGGTCAAGACTTGTGCCTCCAATTTCAGGGCTCTAGTGCAAGAACTCACAGGGAAAGACTCCGAGGC